AATCACATATAGATCTCAGACATGGTAAATTATTAAAAGCGATGAAATACACAGTACATGGTCTCCACCTGGAAACTGGCGAATGCAAATGCTGAAATATCTGAAATGGGTAGCTGATGGAGGCTCGACTCTCCTCAAGCTACAAAAATTACGAGTGAAATATTCTAAGTACTGGGCTCAGAATAAAACTCGAATCTTTAATATCTTATTTGTCTAGGTTCGTTCACTCTGCTTTAAAAATAATTTTAGGGATTTACGAGCTGATTTTGAAAATATTATTGTCTTTGAGGCATTCTAGAGTAATCTGAAATATTTCTAAGTCTGGAACTAAAATCTGACTGAATCTAATCTGATTGAAATCTAAAATATATCTGGATCTTTAATCTATCTGGAATCTTAACTATATCTGAAATCTTAACTATATATGAAATCTTAAATATATCTGAAATCTTAATCTGACTGAATCTGAAATATATCTCGAACCGTCCGGACTGACCGAACCGGTTCAATTGAACTTGACGGACAACTCACTCGGAGTTGGTCGGTCATTCGCTTGACTATGTGCAGCTCGGTGTGACCGTGGTCCGAGTTCGGCGTGGCAACTCGGGCCGGCACGAACTCGACTGACACGGCTTAGTCGGTGCACGATCTTGAAACGATGCCACGGTCACTGACGCAGGGGCGTGCTTGGACCACGGCTAACGGAAAGACGCGTAGACGGTAGGTCGGATGGACTTGGTGCACGGGCACGCACTCGAAGGTTGACTCGGGCTGGGTGCACGGGCACGCGCACTCAGCATTTCGGCTCCAACGGTCGGACGATATACGATCACGTGCGCGAGACGACGATACGCATTACGAATTGACGATACGACGGTTAATAATTATTCAAGCGGTACTAGGGTTCAATCATTTATAGTCGGATCCAGAAAAATACCCGGTTACCGGAACCGGATAAAACTAGGGTTTTGATTCTCGAAAATCCTAACTCATTTAAGGCCGATAATTAATATACAAATATTCTATGTGATTTGTAATAAATCTATAATCCACACTGCAGCTAAAATCTCAATGAAACGAATATTTTATTTTTACCGCATTAACGTCTAAAGTCTCAATTTTTATAACTAAGTCAAACAACATCCAAAATTTACGCAAATCGAAACATAACGTCCTCAATATATGTATGGTCCACGGTCAACAAATCAAGTCCAAGTTCAACTCCTAACCCAATTAATTAGTAATCGCTACAACCGGTCAAGTACACATAAAATCGGTTCGCCTATCAAACGAACCCCGAAAATTCTCAAATTTTTACCTAAGCCTCAAGACAATTAATTATTATTTTTCAAATTTAAATAATTATTTTATCACTTATGTATAAAGAGATCGAAAAATCGATCGGTCCAAGCTCGTAAAAATCCCGATAATTCAATTTTCGCTCAAATCATCAAATTCGCATCTTTATTTCATCTCAAATATCATATCTAAGCCATAAAAATCGAGTTCGAGTTATTATATCTTAAATCGAGTGAAAACGGCGGGCCAATAAGAGATCGAGCTAAGAACAAGAGTCAAAAAGCGAATCGGTTCGACTAGGGGCAGCACAACCCGGATCTGGTGCAACCGGGTCAGTTCTGGTGATGTTCGGGGTCAAACCTGGGGTGCTGGACGCGGGTCTTCACCTGAAAATGGCCGAGAGTGCTGTTGGTCGGGTGTGGTTCGCCGCTGGGCTCGTGGTGGCTTGTTGGGGTCGCACAGCTCGGTTGTACGGACGCGAGGAGGGTGCTGCGACGTACTCATAGTGGAGCTGCGGCCTAGTTGTGGGAATTCGCCGGAAAGACGCGAGCTAGGGTGGTGCTGCATTGGGAATGGAGCAGGCTCGACGGGGCTCACGATTTCGGGCCTGAGTCGCGCCGGAGAGATGGGTAGCGGGCTGAGGAAGATGATTGCTGAGGTCGTCGAAAAGGGAGGACGACGGTGGCTCTGGCTCGCCGGAAAACGCGCGGCTGAAGGTTGGAGGTGGAGCTCGGGCTGCGGAGGTGAGCTGCAGGTGGAGCTCGCGAGTGACGTGCGATGGGGCTGAGTTTGGGCTGAAGTTGGCGGCGTGAGCTGGGAAGGTCGAGCCGATGTCATGGCTGCTCGTCGCCGGCACGGCTGTGGCCGGAAAAGAAGTGGGGTCGCCGGAAAAGCTCAAGCCATGGTGGAAAGAGAAGAAATTTCTTATGTTCTTGGGTTTTGGGAGGTAGATCTTAAGGATTTAAAGCTATATCTTGAAGAGACATCTTGAATATATTGAGCTAGATTTTAAAAAATTGAGCTTAAATGTGAGGGTAGAAGAAGATGAATAGTAGTTGTAGGGAGAAAGAGGCTAGGGTTTTTGTTGTTGGAAAAGGGGAGACAATCTATTTATAGAAGGTGTAGGGGAGCTTAGGGTTTTGTTCTTGTTGGGCCTAAAAATCAGGCCTAACAATTACTAAAGTCGGGCTCATAAAAATTGTTATGTAATCGGGCTAGTAAAAATCCTAACACTCGGGCTCGATTAATTTGGATAGTGACCTAGAAAATTTAAATGCCCGGTTAATAAAATTAGTTGAACTCGAACTAATTAAATTAACCGTTTAAATAAAATGTGACGGCTTGTAGTAATAATTTTGACTTGGGCCGAAATTAAATATTGGGCCCGAAATTAAAATACTACGAGGGCTCGATATTTAAAATATCGCTTGGTCTTGAAAATTAATTCGACTACTCGAATTAAAAATGGGCCGACTATAATTACTTATTCTCAAATTAATTGGGCTCAAAATAATCAAATTATTCGAACGATCTACTTATGGCTTAGACTTTAATAGTAATTATTTAATTTAATGCAAATAAATATAATAAATGCATCAAATTTAGAAACTTAATATTTATGGAAATATAGTCGAGGTCCATAAATAGTAAGTAAAAATCTGGGCGTTACATAAGGGCTCTTAGGATGTAAAAAATAAGTATACATACTAGATTGCAGAACATATACTGCCGATATACTACCAAAGATTTACACATACTAGCATGTAAAAAACAAATGATGAAAATATACTGTCTATACACGCAACATATATATTACCAAAAATTTATACATACTAGGATGTAAAAACATATACTTAAAATATATTGCCTATACACGCAACATATATCATCGACATGTCCACGAGCCCGAGCTTCGGGCCTCACCTTCGTCATCTCCAACTTGACCTCTCCGTTGGAAAGGAGGAGGGGAGGGACGCGCAGTCGACCTGGTCCATCGTTGTCCCTTCAAAAAAACAGTTGCAGGGATAAAAATAGAATCCACCACATCTCCGACCAACTCCGATGGCGCCTTTCTAAAAATCAAATCTCCGTAAATTTAAGCAACCAGAAAAAAATTTAAACCATGATTGGCGATCCCACAATCTCTTATATTAAAAAAAATAAAGCATGACAATTGTTTTACAATGTTCTTATTTTAGCCGAATTTTTTTTGGCGGGCATTTGTCTTTCTCCGGCGAGGAAATGAACAGTATGAGAGGTGGCTTTGAGAGAAAGTACGATGCTAGCCCAACATGCTTTACTATATGTGCAAATAAATATAAAAAATTTATAAAATTTGCTAATAATTATAAAAGGATTGTAAATGTGTAATAAAGATGAAATAGTGTAGTGCATCATGTAATTTCCTCTATATTTTACTTAAGTTTCTGCAAATCCTTATTTTTTTTACTAGGGGAAAATGGTCGTGCATAGCACGACATGCCCCGCGACATGTTCTTAAGGAAAGCAGAGGCTCAAAGAAGAATCTTACTTTGATTTTTGAGGGTTTTTCAGGTGGTGGTTAACAGCGGCCCTAACCAAGAGAGATTAGGAGGCGTAGGTCGAATGTGAGCACAATTATGTAACTACCAACTATAAAAAATTACATTACAGAAAAATTAACCAGACAAAAGCATCGGAGGGTGCTCTGTGCGGCCGACCAATTTACATCCGGCCTTTGGATGACAACGGCGACCGGTTAGGCGTTGAACGGTGGTCCAAGGCCCTTCTAGTTGGCGGCGTATGTCGTCGGGAACCAGCGGCTAGACTGGAGCCATAGTTCACCGTGGGGCGGGGTGTGACGGGTTGTCCTCGGATGTCGGACCGAGGTTCGTGGCCGGCGACCGTCAAGCGATTGACTGGGGGTTGGTGACTCTCCACAATGACGTTGTGGCAAACGAGCCTCAAATCTGGTGGCCATCCGGTGGACGACTCGTGGCTAAAGACGAGTTTCTTGAAGAATAAGAAAGATATGAGAGAAAGGAAAAAATAAAAAACAAAAATGGAATGGAAGAGACGAATTAAATGCGTGAAAAAAAGATCCATTAACTTCTCGGGAACTGACTTGTGAAACTGTTGATTCAAAAACACGTATTTAAATAAAGATAAATGTAATAAGTATAGATGATACAACTATATAAAGAAAAATAAGAGTTTGCATAAACATAAATAAAATCTATAAAAACATCCTCAATACTTTGGGTTCTTTCAGAAAAAATTTATATGCCAGAATGGAAATAGACTCAGCCTACAAAAACATACTCTACAATTGAAGAGTAGACCGAATATTGCTGATGTGCTAACAAGAAAAAGAGATTCGGTTTACTCTTAAGTCAATTTAATACTCAAGTAGAGACACCGTATCTTTGCATTGAGTGAATTGTGTTACTTTTACATAAATTTATCCATATCATTGAAGACTTTGATTTATCTACATGACACGCAATGAAAGCTAGACCCAAAAATTATGAATGTTCCAAGTAGCCATAATAGGTCATTATTTATGAAATTTTCCTAATACAAGTTAATATTAGATGGGCAACCGGTGGTACACTAGGCTGCATAAATTGTACTCATGGTGAATCGTTGTAAAGTCTTATTACATCTGGCCGGAAAAACACATATACAAACCGGAAAAATTGGGCGCGCGAAGGTCAACGAAAATGTACAGTAGAAAGAGGTCATCGATCGCCTTGGCGATTGCGTACGTGGGTCTTCTCTGCTGTGATATCGACGGTGCAATCGCTAAAGTTCCTGAACTAGGATCCGCGCGTGTAGTCTTTCAGGTACGTTTTGTGTGATTCCTATCTGCGTGTGTGTGCGTGAATATGTGGTGATCGGGAATTCTGCGACATTTCCATATAAAGCAGTTTAGTTTGGTTTTGAGTTTTTGATGTTGTTACTGTTCGTATGTGCAAATTTATGTGTGAAGGTTGAAAGGGTTTGGGCTGTACTTTGATAAGCGGGTGAAGGAATGTATTTACTTTGGTGAAATTGTTTCGTTTATTTCTTGGTGGAGACTGTTGAGTCTTCTCGTATGTGAAAACATCTATGGGATAAGCATGTCCTTCACTTATGCTTTTTGATAAATTTTGATGCTCGAAGAATTTAGGCGAGAGGGTTTAACAGAATCTTTGCAACTGCCTTGTCTAGTTGATTCATTGTCGTCTCAAATGGGCGCAGCGCGCAGGGTTCATCATACGACACTCCCCTGTTTCTTTCTTGTATATTTTCTTTGTTATTTTCTCGTTGTTTTGTTTTATGGGGTTGAGATTAGAACCCACAAACTTTCAAGAGCCTAGGTTGATTGAAATGGAGAGGTGGTGTCTTTTTTGTTCTATGGTGATTATTGAAAAGGAATGTCTCGTTTTCCAAATGCAGACAGATTATGGGGACATTGAGTTTGGTTTCTATCCAAGTGTTGCACCAAAGACAGTTGAACACATTTTCAAGCTCGTCCGGTTGGGATGCTATAACACGAACCATTTCTTCCGGGTATTTTACTGTGAATTCACCATGTGTAGAGACATTTATCATGATGGGTTGTGTTAAAATGGAAAAAGGGGTTGTCTAATACTTGAGATTTGGCAGGTAGATAAGGGTTTTGTTGCTCAAGTGGCTGATGTTGTTGGAGGAAGAACTGCTCCAATGAATGAAATGCAGAAGTTGGAAGCTGAGAAAACTATTGTTGGTGAATTTAGTGAAGTTAAACACGTGAGGGGTATACTTTCCATGGGAAGGTAATGCCAATTTTCAGGAACTCTATTCTGTTGATCTGGATTTTTGAACTTTTCGTTTTTCAATATATGCAATATTTAATATTAAGTAGGCTCTCGGGATGGGGGAGGAGAGAAGTTGGGTCTTCTAGTATGTAGAGTGCGTTGGCTGGGCTTATGCAGGGTTATGAAAATAGTGATAATTTCATGCATGTTTCTTGTAGTACATAAATATATATTCGTTGTGGGATATAAATACAGAAAATCAGCATTATGCAGTCAATATCCTTGATATCACGTCATAGCCTCTCCACACATGTTCCCTTCTTATATCACAATCATTTCATGGTTATTAGTTAGCTTAATTATAAAAATATAAAGTAGTCCACAAGTACCGATCAAGTATCGTTATATATTCTAATATGTAAGACATTATGAACCAAAATAAAAGCATGGAAGCCTAGGAGCTGCCTAAGCTGCCAAGACTGTGCCTAACTTCATGACCAGCTTGCCTACGGAGGCCACACAGCGGCCGTGGTGCCTAGATCAACTTTTAGAACCATTTATGTGTGTGTATTAACCATTTTCTATAGAAATCCTCTTATTCCTTTAGCCGTATTTGTGTGAGTTGCATTCGTTTTGAAATTAAGGATGTTGGTATGGTAAAGACCTCCGACCGGCTAGAAATGGCTAGATCTCGAGCTTGATTGTCGGTTGGACGCCTTTGGACCTGCAAAACTAACTCACATCCGAGGGGTTTTTCGGTGAAAAGCCTCCAAAGTTTAAGTTAGCGCTTGTAGAAGATGAAGTGCAGTATAAGAGTATGTAGAGAGCGTAATGTAATTCAGGGCATACCACACTCCTTTAGGGAGATGATACCTTGTTGTCCAGGCTTGCCCGCGTGGGCTGCTCAGGCTGCCCGTTCGGGCCCTAATTGCCCGATTATGTTATGCCACGTGGCCCTATCCACGTGGGGTTTATTCCTCATAATATTCCTTCTTATCCTTTAGTCTTCTTCATTAGACGATCTAACCGCGCGACTGATCCCGATTACTTCGTGGTGGAGCATCATCGATTTCGAGCTCTGTTGTTATGCCTATCTGGTCGATCCTTTGACAGGTGCTTTTTTAGGTCGAATTTCCACCAGATGGGGCCCCCATTCGACCTGTTGGTACCACTTGTATCCTTGATGTCTTTTCGACCTACGGCTCTTCTCCGGTCGAGGTGATGATTGACTCGATGCGGTTTGGTCGCTTTTCCAGTCTACTCGACTCGACCTGGTGCAGTTCCATATCAGATGTCTTTACATAATGATGAAACATTTAGTTGTAGAACTTGCATACGAGGTAGCATTAACATTCCCAAAATTTTAGGTCTCCTCTAAATAAATTTGTTTCATTACAGATATTCTGACCCCAACAGTGCACAGTCTTCGTTCTCGATACTCCTTGGAGATGCCCCACATCTTGATGGCCAGGTATGCCAGACAACTTTACAATAGTTGGTCAAATACTTTCCCATTATGTTGCTTTATTTTTTAAGTGTCTTGACATACTGTACGTTAAATAGTAATTGTTATTTTTGGGATATGTTTCAGTATGCTATATTTGGAAAAGTTACTAAGGGCGATGAAACTTTGACAAAACTCGAGCAAGTTCCTACTAGGACAGAGGGAATTTTTGTTATGGTATTGCTCATCCTTGTCATTATCTTGGCTTTCATCAGTGTCCTTTCTTGTTTTTGCTCAACACATTTGTGTGGGATCCAGTAATTTTTTTAAAAGTTATTTCAATGTGGTTAAGATGATATGCTATTACTTCATATGGAAACTGGAGTTAGAGACTAGTCTTGAAATGACTGTTTTACTGGAGTTTGATATTGCCTTTTGTAATTCAATGAGGTTTGGCTGTTCCATTTTTATCACTTGTTATCAATACTTTTTGTTGGTAAACTAATATTTCCCTTTCTCTTTTTCCAGCCAACTGAACGTATCACTATTTTGTCGACATATTATTATGGTATGTTCGAAACCCACACATGAACGACTTGGTTAGTTATCTGAATAGGCTTTTTAACTTAGCCCAGAATTGTTTAATCGAATGATCTATCAGTTTTATCCATGCCATCTTGTCAAATTTACTCGTAAAAATTGTTTACCATCGTCGAATTCAAGTATTATTGAATCCAATAAATTTTCATAGTCAATTCCGACAGCTCATTTGATATCAAATGTAAATCCAAGAGTATCCATTAAGTTGTTAGTCTTATGTGTGAACCCATAGAAATTGGTGATGATCCTCTGGTGATTTCTTTGGAAAAAGCATAGTCATGAGAACCTAACTGAACCGACCGGTTAAACATGGAACTGATCCCCTGACCGATCCGGTCCTCTTGAAAAAACCTGTTGGGAAAGAACCGGTCAAGAAACGATTCTTGTAATTTTATGTAAATTTTTAAAAATAATTATTTTTAATATTTTTAAATATATATTTTTTTATCAAATGCATACATTAAATATTTTGAATATGTATAAATTATTATGTCAATTAGCGAAGACATTTAAATGTTTCAATTTATCAAAGTAATAAAAGATGTTTTTATTAAAATTTAACACTAAAAATATTATATATATTTAAAAATGTTAATTAATAAGTACCGGTCCAAGCAGGTTAAGCCATAGTTTTTAAACCCGGCCAGGGAATTGACCCGGAGTCTCGGACATGTCTCCAGGTCATCGGGTCATTGGTTCAACTGCCAGGTCATCGAGTCACTGGAGTGCTGGGTTGCTGGGTCAATTGCTAAACCAGATAATTTTTTCAAAATTTGTAACATTATATATATAGTATTTTTATAATATAAATATACATAAAGTAACAGAAAAAAAATAAAATATACAAATTTTATACATTAATAATATTGCATCTCATAATAAATATTTACAGTATAAATATATATATACATAGTTTTTATTTTTTAATATAAAATAATATTTTAAAATACGAAAAAAAAATATAGTGACCGGGTCAAACTTGGTTGACCCAGCCGGGTCAATGCCCGGGTCGACGGGGCAAGGCCGGTTTGACCTGATTTTGACCGGGTCCATTGTCACCCAGTCCAAATCACCCACCGGACCGGTTCGACCCCAGATTGACCATGTCTTGGGTCGACCTGCCGGGCCGGACTGGGTTGAAAAATTGTGGTTTCAACCAAGTGCTGTACTGGTAGTTGATGGGTTGCAGTCTTCTAATTTAGAATCCAGTTTTAGTTCTTTGCGGGTAGAACTTGTTACAAGTAGAAAAAGTGCAAGCTCAGTCCCTGCCTTTATGTTTATGTTCAAGTTTAATGAGTGTTTTGCTCAAACTCCAGATCTCTATAATTTTCTCTTCCAAGTCTCGAGAAATTTTTTAACAAAGCGGTCGTTATGTGCTTAAATATATGTTAATTGTTAATTTTCTGCCATAACCATTTTCTGTCAAGTAAGTCTTTTTTATTGCCTCCAGTACGATGACAATGATCCGTTCAGATTTAATGTGTATGTCATAGGTGCCATGTCAACAAGGCTGTTGCCAAATGAGTAAAAAGTGGAGAACTCATAACCACTTTACTTTTACAGTTCTTCATGTGCTTTTGATTTTTTTTTTTTTTTTCAACTATGAGGGTGTTGATTGAATTTCTAGGCTTCTTTAAAACATCTTATTATCGAATGAAGACTTAACGTAAAGAACTATATATTATTATGAAAAGTAATAAAACAATAAACACGGATTAATCCTTGGGAAAGTATCCGGCCCAATCTTAGAACCGTCAAACAATAATAATTCTCTCGTGCCATGTACTAAACACCAATTACCTCACGTAAATAGAATATTAACACAAGTAAATAAAACCCTAATGGGCACCTTAAACCTATGTGCATGAAGCTCACTAATTATTCTACATAATATAGTCTGTAACATCCTATAATAATATTTTACAGATCTCATCAAACATCATAATTTGGTAAGAGATATTTTGGTAGAGCAGCTTGTAGAATTCCAAAATGCAATGTTGAATTCTTATAGCCTTGATTAACAACAAGAAAGTAAGGAGTTATGACCACCATATTAAATTGCATAATTCCATTCTCATTTATCCATGATAGGTCTTTGATCCTTCTTATTATTGAGTAACATATGATTGTGGAATGGTATTTCACTAGTGTTGGGGTTGTTCACATGTTAATTCTCTTTCCTTCTCGGAGTTTCAGATAATAAGTACAATATATTTTATTCCTTTTAGATACCGAGACGGAAACTTGTGAAGAAGATAGGTTGGTACTGAAGAGGAGACTTGCTGCATCTGCTATTGAAATTGAAACACAGGTAAAGAAGAAAAAAGAGATGAAAGAAAAACTGTAGTTAACTGTATATACGCAGAAACATTTAAATTTTACTCATACGCAACGAACTTCTCCATGGACATTGCAGAGAATGAAATGTTTTCCGTAGCCTAGGAAGAGCCAATCAGGCCACGCCAAACAAGGTGCTGCGAAGTAAGTTCATTCATTGCTTTTCCTCATTTCGTGATGTATTTTGTGTTTATGAAAACATGTGTTTATGAAGTCACGATTTCTTGTTCCCAAAAGCAACGGCATGTGATGTGCAGCTTCCTCTCATATGTACCAATCTTTGCTTAAATGTGGACCGAAACCTAAAGCCTTTTACAACCTTAATACTGCTATAGACGATTTTCAAATAAAGACACTAGGGACCTTCTCTCTTGAGTGATTGATCTGTGCATAATATTGTTATGTTTGTTTCTGTTGTGCTGTATTATTGCGTGTCTAATGCAGAATTTGTGGGACCACACAAGTTTTATGCTGTTGGCCAAAATTGGTTGGTTTGCTGAATTATTGAAACTGGTCTAGTGAATTATAATAACGATTGGGATATCGATGATCGGAAACTTTGTCCTCGATCTTCCCGTTAAATCAAAGAATTTGCCATGGCTGCCGAATATATATCTTGAATCACCTTTGATCATATGATTTTCTTTCAGAAAATACTCGAGTAAAAAGGTCATTTTTTTTAATATTTGTTAGAATATCTTGTCCCACATCCTTTATACATGGAAAATAGATCCACCTTATAAGTTTAATGGGCTACTACTCCTTCCACCAATTGGCTTTGGGATGGAACCTCACTTGGGCTTCATCTGGGCTTTCCTTGCTTATAGTGCGCTTCACGTGCGTGGACCGCACTCGTTTTTCCCCGTTTCTTACATTATGTATATTATTTTTGCCTTAGTATGGTCCTTCACATTCTGATGTAGCCATGAAGGATTAATATATATGCCGCTGTAGACCATTAAAGCCGAAAACGATGCAGTCATGTGAGTCAAAATTGTGAATGGAACATCATCAATTAATGCTTTAGGTAAAACGTTTTCTGCATCAGAAGGGCAGCAGAGAATGTATCTAAAACAAACACACCACATGCTTGAAGATGTTTTTAACTCACTCACTCTGTTGTAGGGTGGTCCAATTTATTTTTATTTTTTTATTTATTATTTTTATTTTCATTTTCATTTGCAGGATTAAAGTAATGTAGTATATTTGATTATCGGTATGGGACGTGAAAAGGCAGCAAGTCGTATATGGAGATAGCATGAAATTTGAACCCCCAATAAAAAAAGGATCTTTATTTTACGCTCCTCACCCCCACAGGTATGGGCATGTGAGACCTGAAATTCCAAATTTGGCATTTGTGAGATTATAATAAGGTTATATATATTATATTAAATGAACATCCACATATGGCATTTGTCTCAACTAGGGCTGCAAACGAATCGAGCGGCTCGCGAGCCTCTCGAGTCGAGCTCTAGCCATATTTTGCATTGTCAAGCGGCTCGAAATATATGTTAACTTACTAAAATATCTCCGCAATATACTCCCTCCTTTTTTTTAATAAGTATCATTTTTGAGAAGTTGCACAGTAATTAATTAATTTTTTTTTTTTTTTTGCCATAATATCATTTGAGGACAGAGATAAATGTTTAAAGAAAAGTTGAAGATTGAATGTGAAAAGACGTAATGTATTTACTAGTTAGATGAAAATAATAATGAAAAAAAAAATGTACAAAAGCTCTAAAACTTCATTTATTTAGTTAATTGTTGATAAAGTTGAAATGACATTTAAAAAATACAGGAGTTAGTATATTATAATAATATAGCATATGTGTTTAGTGGTAATTTTATTTTTTTCACTTAAAAATTTCGAGCCGAGCTCGAGCATTTTGATTTTCGAGCTCGAGCCGAACTGAAGAGAGCTCGAACTTCATTTACTTGACCCAATTAATGGCTCTTTTACCTTGCTCGTGGGTAAGGTAAGGTCATTGACTCGTTATTATAAATTTCACAATGTTTGTGGTGCAACATCACGTGCCCGCTGTCTGCATTTATTGCTAAACTGAAATAGATTTCTCAATAGTAGGAACAAGTAAATGCAAAATGGTCACATTTTCAATCATACTATTCATTTGCATTTCGAAAATGAAATATCAAATTAATAAACTAGTTGAATAAAGCATCACAAGAAACGTGTTTTTCTTTTTTCTCTCTAAAAAACAAAGTTATCAAACCATTTTAGTAAATAAAGTCATTATTAATTTCATAATTCCGTTAATCAGTACAACGGTTTTACTATGGAGCTATCCGATGAATCGGTTTATGGAGTCATCTATAATTATAAACAAATGGTGTATTGACGCGTGTCCTTCATTAAATAAACATTGGACACGTCAGTTTATAAAATTATGAATGACTTCATAAAGAAACTTTCGATGGCTCAATAGAATTTTTGATCTGTATATATATCTCCTATTGCAAATATTTGGCCGACATTTTAAAAATTTGACTTTATTCCTATTTTCATTGTCATATTTCATTTAATTATGATAATAGTGATGATAAATAATAAGAGAAAAAAAATATATCCAATCACAACCTAATAATTGACAATTCTGAAATTATTGTTTTCTTGCCATTCAATCCCAACGACATTCTGAGTAGGTTTGTCAATCTCTTCATAGACACCGAGTTCCATAGACGTGACGGTTGATTGGGCCCATTCCTTAATGGTTAAAATTTATATATAGTTGAATTTGTTCAACACTCGTAGGCCCATTCAAATATGATTAGAATATTGCCGAATGCCAATTTTATTTTGAATTTGTTCAATACTCGTAGGCCCATTCAAATAGGACTCGAATATTGCCGAATGCCAATTTTAGGCTTAATTGCATATAAAATCAAAACTTTTAACCTTTTTGCAATTTAAACCAAGCTTTAGAGTAACTGCAAACATATCGCTACTTTTTTTTAAAAATTGCAACCCGAACCCAATTTTGCTTGCCGGTGAGTCTGATGCCTACATGGTCCGGGCAAAGGATTACACATGTCAAAGCGAAATGACGCGTGATTTTTTTATTTTTTTGCAAGAAAACCCCCAACTTTTGAAAATTTAGCAAATAGAGACATCAATTTAGGAAAATAAAAAATAAAAAATCATGATCTCAGCATTTCTGTCAATTTAAGCGATATTAAACACATATATAAGAGCCTATGTTAGTTGGATTTTGATAATAAAAATGACAAATGAACCAATGTTAAAGCAAAACACACGGTATTATAATAATTTGAGTTCGAATTGTTGTAAGATAAAAAAAATCGTGATTTATTTTGTAATTAGTATAATGATGTGATATTTTAGTCGAACAACCCGCCACATCATCCTTAAGCTGTTGGCCACGCTGGCAAAATAGTGGTCGCCACGTGTAATATTTCTCATATTGTATAAGAACAACTTTAACGGGTAAAATTTATGAGATTTTTAAACCTTAACTGGGTAGTGTTACGGTTAAAGAGGATAAATTGGGTTTCATCATCTTAGCTCTCCGCCGAAGGAGCTCAACCACTGGCTGAGTTATGACATGTTAGGCGTGGCTCGTCCTCGCAGGGTGTTGGTCTAGTTACCATCAGGCTTCAGCCTCTTTTTTTATAAAAAAAAAGAGAGGATAAGTTGGAGTGTTTTTAAGAGTTTGTAAGAGCATCTCCAACCGTGAACATGAATTGTACTGTATGTGGCAATTAAATAGATGATCTTCCGTCCAAGTGGAACAAATAGAGGTTCAACTCCATAAATACTCTCCAGTGGTTTATTTCTATCTCCACATAATCCATTTATTTTGTTTGTAAATAAGGGGAAAAAATAACTGATTAAGTCTAGAAGGACTTCTACATGTAGAAGGACTTCTAGAATTTTTGGTTATCTTTCATGCCACATCATCATCAATAGAAATAGAAAAGTCACGATTGGAGAAGTTTTTTTTATTGCATGTCTTCTACAATTCTACAATTCACACACCGTTGGAGATGCTCTAAAGCCGCAGTGCAAATGGAAAGCTGGTGTTGTGGCATAGAATGTGGACCCCAAACGTTTAATAAATTGATGCAATATGACAATTTGTCTTAGACTACTCTTTTTTGTCTTCACATTTTAAATGTATACTCTAATGTAATTTATAAACTATATTTGTATTTTATTTGTAATTAAAATATAATTATATTTATATATTTAATATTACTTTAAGGTTTATGTATAATAAAATTGTAATATTAGCCTTTGGGGCGTGAGGTCAAGGGGCGGACCTTTTGGTTGTAAAGTCACGAGGGAGTATTAAAAGCCATACGTCACAAGATCTATCCCATCTATTGTGGGGTATAGAGGTAGGGCACTCTGCACCTCCCGGGAGAATTAGTCCCAATCCTTGGCGTGTGGATCCTATAGGCCGATAGGAGCTGACACTGTGTGGTGAGGCCAACGAGTGAATGTGAGGATATCTCCCGGTCGAAAGAAAAAAGTTTGTAATATTACGAGTAAAAATGAGGTTGGATTATGTGGATGATTGGGAATGTAAAGAAATGAGGTCGCTTTAATCAGGCTGAATGCCACCACGTATACAATTTTAATACATAGAATGCAAAGAAGCCGTCCGAGGCAGAAAAATGATTTTTTATTTTATTTTATTTTTGGAAAACTATCTAAAATTATTAAGGCAATTAAGGCAAGTGTTATTGAACAATGAAAAATGTTTAAAAGATGATTTTTTTTTTTTTTTTTTTCTGAATAAAGCTTCTGTGCTACATATATAATATAAATGGCAGAAACTGTCATGAAATAACGGAATTAATTACTCTAGATTCTAATTAATTCAATTTTATTTTTTCCAATTATTGGATAAGTAACATAATAGTTATCGCCGTTATATATAAATCCTGAATGGGCTGAGGCTAAGTGACAGACGTGTGCTTCGTAAGCTTATTTGGCATAAGTTTGTACTCCGTATTGACACATGTAAAGGTATGGTTTTGACTATTAAGCTTGAGAATTACCAAAACTATTTTACCTTTCTTAAATTACCATATACTACTATCCTTACTTGTTTTATT